ATCAGCTCTGTCAACATCATTAGCTGAGGCGGTTTTCACATCAAAGTTAGCAACAAGCTAACATTTTGTACATCGAGAGAGTTTAACCAGACATTATTGAGACTATTGCTTAAAGATGTTTGATGTGTTGCTGGTTGTTTTATGAGATTTTGCGAGTTAAATGATTAATTCATCTATCAAAATGAGTAAGGGGTCCATAAATATTCCTGATCTCTGAAATATTCTCTAATTCATTAAAATGCTCAATTTGAAATGTGAAGTGTCTGACACATCTTTGGATAGTGGGAGGAAGGTGGAGTCTTCAGAGGGAAACCCCTGTGAAAATGGGAAGAGTGTCCAAACTTCACACAGAAATGGCCAGCACTCAAATTATGTGCAACTGGAGATTGACCTATATGGAAGATTTCCCTAAGTAGCTCTGCAAAATCACAAGAATGCACAAAACACCCAGCCCTTTTCATAAACCTTTAAACACTAGTGCAGATTATATTTGGCTTCTGCCTCTTAATTTTGGAACATAATTGATTTATTTTCTGTTGAGACAAGGGAGGCAGTGATGAGAACTATGAGCAGACAGCTTGACCTTGGCAGTCGGACTCCACAGCTTTGCTCTGTTGAGTCCAGAGAATGGTCTTAAGCTACTCCCACAAGTGGTGCGATTGTCGAACGGACAGACAAGGAATCTGAATTATTTTCTACTTTTATCAGACCTTCCATGTGTACTACACCACGTCCTTTAGCTATTTGCTCTTAACAATGCCTTCCTGCACATGACCATCTGAGAAGACTTTTCCTTTTTTTTTGCTTTTTTTATGCAAGGATGATTACGCCATTATCACACTCTCTATTGATATACTTATCAATCCTCATGATACATGTTTTCTTGTTACTGCTAGTGCATACACATTGAAAATTATTACTATATCAGCAGCTTCAGGTGCAAGAGGGCACAACCGGATTCTATAACTATTTTGGAATAGCTTTTTCACTTCCTGTTAACTCGAGAACATTTAATCATATTTGATGGATTTTATCAGTGAGGAGATCAAACTGATCAAATCCTTGTTTTAACTTACAGTGTTTTTACTGCTGTGTATTCCCACTGTGACGACCCACTGCACCCTGCCTTCCTTTTGGCTCATGTGTGTCTTGTTTGCAGGCATTGAAGAGGCGGAGTTCCCATTTACAATCAGTGACACTGGCAACACCTGGGCCAGTGTGCCAGGACACTATACAAAAAGCCTTTAGGGCAAAGCCCTGCCCATCGTCTATCATGTTGGCCGGCCTTGTGGGATTTTGAACAGCTGTAGCTGCTTCTTGTTCTTCGATAAGCCAGGTCCGAGCCAGCTCCAATCAGCCAGAAAAGTTATCGTGGTTCCGAATTGGTAGATCCTCCATTGAGACTGTCAAATTCAAATTTTATTTGTCACATACACAGTCATACACAATACGATATGCAGTGAAATGCAACTGCTCGTGACCTAAAATAAAAGACTATGAATAGGATAGAAAATACATATGAAAATTAAAATGAAGGGTAAATTTAACTAGGAAAGAATAAAATAAAATATAAAAATTAAAGTTAAAAAGAAAATAACTGTACAACAAAATACACAATACACAAAATACACAATATAGAAAATATATAAGAATATATGAAGAAATATAGAACATTAAGAGCAGCTGTACGAGTAATAAATGGTAATGAAAGAAATGTAATGTCCAGGGTTGTGCAATCCACATATTTAAGTGCCTTGTGCAGTGCAAATATGCTTAAAAGTGATTTATTTAAGTGAGTGATTTGATTTGATGACCACGCAGTGTAGTTGTGCAGTGGCCACTAGTGTAAACAAATGTCCAGAATGTCCAGTGTGTGTGTAAAAACCATATGTGTGGGTCAGTACTATGTGGTGGTGTGATTGAGAGACTGTATCGCCTGTGGAAAGAAGCTTCTCCTCAGTCTCTCTGTGTTGGTCTTCAGGGAGCGGAATCGCTTTCCTGACCTCAACAGAGAGAACAGTCTGTTGTTGGGATGGCTGAGGTCCTTCACAATCTTCCTGGCCTTGGTCCAGCACCGCCTGCTGTAGATTGAGTGCAGGTCAGGGAGCTCGGAGCAGATGGTGTGCTCAGCTGATCGCACAACCCTCTGTAGCGCTCGTCTGTCCTGCATGGTGCTGTTCCCGAACCAGGTTAAGATGTTCCCCGTCAGGATGCTCTCTATGGTGCACGAGTAAAAGTTCCTGAGCACCTTGGAGGGCAGTCGGAAGTCTCCCAAGTGTCTGAGGTGGTAGAGACGCTGTCGGGCCTTTTTCACCACAGTGTTGATGGATCTGCCGCTTTGACCAAGGTCAGAGCCACATCACCAGGCTCCTGATTGGTTGTCGCGGCACGTTTTGACGCTGGAGTTCAGATTTTTCCAACTCAAGCGGTAGACGTGAAACACGCGTATGCACAAAATGCAACACAAAAACTGACGCGCGTGGTTTTATTCGCGAGCCAAACGCGCCAGACGCGTACACTGACGCCCGTTTCTCACGTTTTCGTGATGCAAATCTGCTTCCAAATTTTCGCGGGACACGCAATCGCGTGTCATCACGCTTTTTCCATTGACTTTACATGTAAACCTGACGCTCTAGCCGCCTCTATCGCGTTCGGTGTGAACACACGGTTAGAGTGTGGAAAACCTCTAAACCTCAGGCTTAAAATGACCAACAGTCTCCTTTAAAAAGGACATAGTCACAGGCTCAAACCTGTCAAGGACAGCAAAGCAGGAAGCAGAGACTGAGGGGTCATGAGCACAAGGCAAGATTTGAGCCCTTGTGGAGGAGACCTTCTCAATAAAAAAAAAGTAAAACATTTTCACAGGCTTCAGACGAGGGCTTGATACAGTCGATATGTGGTGCACTAAGAACAGAGTTAATAGTTAAAACACACGGGTTGTGACAATTTGACAGAATAATGTCAGATAAGGGTTTCTTTTGGCATCTTTTACAGTTTTTTGATATTGAAGCCAACAGTCCTTTAGCATCTCGAATGACACTTGTAGTTGGTCCTTTTCCCACTTGCGTTCAGCTTGACGGTACTCACATCTGACAGCTTGGGTCATGTCGTTCAACAAGGGCTCAGATTTAGCTTTAGGCAGTTTGGTTTTTAATGGAGCGACAGTGTCCAAAGCAGTCCAACAGGTGGAATAAAACCATGAGCTCAGTTCCTCAGTCTGGTTGCATAAAAACTATGGGATTGTACAGTTCTGGTTAAAAACTGTTGAAAACCCAGGAGCAGCATGAGGTTTAACTGAGGTACAGGCAAGAGGAACTTCAAACATTACAGGACTGTGGTCAGAAAACACAGCATCACGAATCTCTACGTTAAAAACATAAAAACTATGAGTTAAAACAGGATCAAGTATGTGTCCACGTTCATGTGTGGGACCAGTCAAACATTGCACCAGATTAAAAGAATAAATTTAAAAAGCTCTTTGCCATGGGCATATCAGGACAACACACATGAATATTAAAATCCCCAACAATAAGAACACAATCATATTTTGGCATGTATTCAGCCAAGAAGTCATTCACAAAGTCCTTATTTTATTTTGGAGCAGCCCAGCTGAAACACAGACAGTTTAAAGCTGGTGAATGACGGGGTTGATAGCTGCTTACATTTAAAATGACTTTAAAAATCGTAGCTATTCCTCCTCCTTGGCCCAACGTACGCAGGAATTAAAGTAGCAGCAATTGTTATTGATCTATAAGGAAGAATATTATTTTTCTGTATTTGATTCTTTTAGTAATTTAAATTATTTTAAATTATTTCATTTAATTTGTATCTATATATTAGCTTAAATTGAAATGGATAAATGAACAACTGTTTACTGGGAATAGTTTTGGTGATCTGCAGTATTATATTGTGAAACTGACTCTAAATTTGATTCATATATTTTACAATTTCAAAACTTAAATTTTTATATTTTAATGAGTGAAGAGGGAAAAAGCTATCAAAAGAATGTGAAATTAAACTAAATTATAATAATATTGAGGAAATCTTTCATAGGTAACTTTCCAAGTCAAAGTTTTGTGAACAAAGGGCTATCTTATCACACTGCAGTTGCCCAGGAGATACACAGGAGAAGGAAGGGGGACTCCCAGCAGTTGACAGCAGTGGCCGTATGTGTATATAGTGTTTAGTTTTAGTTTAAAATGCATATCTCAGATTGTGATTTAGTGTTAGTTGAAGCTTGCAACCTGTAAGTAGTTTTTATCAAGCAGCTTAGTTTTAGGGCAAGTAAAGGACAAGAACAAGGTTTGAAAAACATTTTCATCTTACAAAAACACTTAAATCAAGGTTTATTGAACTGTATACAAAATCAAATGTTTGCATGCATATACAGATTAGAAACAACAAAAAATAAAATTATAAACTAGTAGCTGAAGTAGAAGCTGATAGTAATGCTGGTGTATTATTATTCATGACACCCAAAGAAACCAATGTAATGCAGGAAAAAAATTCTGATTCTGAAATTGCAATAAAAAATATTGTGCTATATAAGGCTCAAAGATAAAACTGAAAAACATATCCATAAACTAATGGCTCTCATTTCAATGAACTAAGACTTAACACATGCAATTAAAACATTAGAATATACTATAAGATGCTAAAATGTGAAGCAGAAATAAATCAATGTCTTCTTCTGATTATCCAAATCAGGCTTGCCAGGGATATAAGTTCTAGTTTAGTAAAAGCAATATTTATGTAATTAAACACAAAACAGGTAATCAAAGCTGATTAATTTAAGTATTACAAAAATAATAATACCATTTTTATTTTTACCCAGCTACTGTTGTAACATTTCTTCATCTTGACCACCTTGAAGTTGATTATAATGTGTTGTCAAAGTCTCAAGATACTCTGAAACATCTAAAACAACAAAGTGATTTTATTAATAATACATACAGGATTCCTAGTACTCAACATGAAAGATTTACTTTATATTCTGTTTACCTGGAGTGAGTAGGCAGCAGTCTTCAGTGAGAATTCAATGGCTTCCTTCATGATTTTCTGGAGCGTGAACAGCATGACTTTCTAATTTAACATAAGAGCCTTTATTAGTTTTCACAGTGCCAAATTATGAGTTAAAAAAAAGACTTGAATTACTGATTACATGTTTGTTTAGAGTGAGAATTATTAAAGTGCTGAAAGTAGCCTTTTTCAGTTTAAACTCTTCTATTGGAGTCCTAATTGTAACGCCCAGTACAAATTTAACAGCCACCTCACTAATGTTTTAAAAAAACAAAAAACAACAAATAGAAGAACTTGGTTTACATTCTCCTTAGACGGGGCAATAGTACTGATTCTGATATATATGTATTACAGAAATATAAAAGAAGCCTTTATGTGAACGAAGAACATTTTGCAAGATAACCTTAGACTATGTTTTTTTCTAATTTTCTATTTTGAACAAGTTTGATTCTTTTTTCAGTTTATGCTATTTGTATATGTACAGCACTTTGGGAACCCTGGTTTAATTTAAAGTGCTTTATAAATAAAGGTGGTATGGTATGTTATATAATGTGACAAACCTTCAATGCATCCATCTTCATCAACATGGTCTTTTTTGCCTCCTCATACATTTCTTATTTGAGTACACATGTCTCTCAATAGTCTTCCTCATGTTTTCCAGTGCTCCAGTTCCCTCAACTTCTTTTACTTCTACAAGAAGACACAAGGTTTTGCAACAAAAAAGAACCCAAAACTTTTTATGCATAATTGCGATGAATGCCTACATTCACAATAAATGCAAATGTGTCAACTTACCAATGTAACATTTTGTCATGTTTTCCTTAACTGTCTCTGTTAGACTGGTGTAGATTTTCTTCTTCTGCTTCAGGATGAATTTCTCCATTTGAGCCTTCATTTTGTCCTCCTTAGAAATAGGAAACATTGGTAAAAATGTATTTAAAAAAAACAAAACAAGAGATCAGGGTAATAGAGATGATTCTATTTTTTTCTCCAAAAGTTAATTAGAGCAGAACATATTAATATTTACACATTCTATTTTTTTGTGTAAATATTAATCTTGATGGTAATGGAATCATAAACAGGAGAATTTACAATTAGACAGTGTACCTGTGTCTGAAGAAATATCAGCTGTAGTTCGACATCATTGTATTTTTGAATCAGTGAATTGGTGCCAAGTGAAAACCTGCTTATGACTCCTTTGAATGATCCACATTTAATGTCATTTCTGAAAAATGTGTTTCAGAATAATAGTGTTGATGGCAGCATTGACAAGTGAATAATGTGTATGATGTATATGAGAGAGAGAGAAAGAGAGAGAGAAAAACACTTAATATGATAACACTTTATTATTTATTCTGTTTATTCTTACGGGAAGGTCTCTCTGAACTTTTTATCAATGCTGTCAGTCAGGCATGAAGCCAACATCATGTTGAGGTCTATTTGCTCCCCGCGTTTTGTTGTGTGGATGCCGTCCTTCTTAACTACAGCCTGTAGTGTGCTGAAAAAACTGGGCTCTTTCTAAAACAAATCAGGAAAACATTTTTAAACGCATGCTCATAAAGAGTGCAAAATCTGCTGCTTTGATTTAATTATAATTAAGATACATACACGATCCAAAAAGGTCTTCAGTTTTTTTTCAGAGGTTATGAAATTTTTAATCCCTTCTGCGAGACACTGTTCAAAGTCCTTGGTTGCTTCTTCAACTGCTGTTTTTACTGTATTAAGTTGTTCCCTCATGTTTTTCTCAAGGACTTTACATACATCATCTGCTTTTCCAACACCCTGAAATAAAAAACAAATATGTATGTATGTATATATGTATGTATGTATGTATGTATGTATGTATATGTATATATATATATATATATATATATAATATATATATATATATATATATATATATGTATATATATATATATATATATATATATATATATATATATATATATATATATATATTGTTACACCCCGGCCTAGGCAACCGGGGTGCAACGTAGAAAAACAAAGATAAGGAAAATAAAACCACGAAGGCTCTCCACCAAAATCCCAAAACGAAAGTATCGACAAATCTATTTACAGCTATTTACAACAAACTATTTATTTACAACAAAACACCAAACTATTTACAACACGGGGGAGATCGCGACCATGACACCCTGAAACACAGGGTTTAAATACCTAGAAGGAGCAATCAGGGAATGGACCACAGGAGGGAAACACAGCTGGGGCAAATTAGACCTGACGAGACAGGGAAACGTAAACTGAAAACACTAAGATAACACAGACTTTCAAAGTAAACAGGAAACACATAACAGTCACGCCAAAAACAACACACTGACAACACCGAAACGTAACAGTTCCCCCCACCGAAAAATCAAACATTTAACACCAAGTGAAAAGTTTGATCCAGACAGATGAAGCCGATGAAGGCTGGAGCAGTCCCACGGACCCTCCAGCAGACGACGAAGGCTGGAGCGGTCCCTCGGACCCTCCAGCGAAGGCGGATGAAGGCTGGAGTGGTCCCTCGGACCCTTCAGCGAAGGCGAATGAAGGCTGGAGCGGTCCCACGGACCCTCCAGCAGACGACAAAGGCTGGGGCGGTCCCCGGACCCCCCAGCGAAGGCAATCCCGGACGAGGCCCCATATGTTACACCCCGGCCTAGGCAACCGGAGTGCAACACGAAAAAAGTAAAAATAAGGCAACAACACCCGAGAAAAACTAATACGGGCTTCCACAAATCATCCCAAAACGAAAGTATCAACCACTATTTTCCTTAAAGCAAAATATGATATTTATTTACATCACACAAAAGGCGCCAAACTATTTACAACGGGGGGGAAGATCGCGACCATGACACACTGAAACACAGGGTTTAAATACATAGAGGGAGCAATCAGGAAATGGACCACAGGAGGGAAACACAGCTGGGGCAAATTAGACCTGACGAGACAGGGAAACGTAAACTGAAAACACTAAGATAACACAGACTTTCAAAGTAAACAGGAAACACATAACAGTCACGCCAAAAACAACACACTGACAACACCGAAACGTAACAGTTCCCCCCTACCCAAAAATCAAACATTTAAAACATGTAACCCCAAAGAAAATGTTTGATTCATGACCAGCGCATACGGCACCGGCTGCTGTTCTGCAGGCGACGCTGATGGCTGGACGGGCCCCTTGGATCCTCCAGTGGAAATGGAAGGCTGGAGCGGTCCCTCGGACCCTCCAGCGAAGGCGGACGAAGGCTGGAGCGGTCCCTTGGACCCTCCAGCGAAGACAGACGGACGGCTGAAGCGGTCCTCAGACCCTCCATCGAAGACAGACGAAGGCTGGAGCGGTCCCTCGGACCCTCCAGCGAAGACAGACGAAGGCTGGAGCTGTCCCTCGGACCCCCCAGCGAAGACTGACGAAGGCTGGAGCGGTCCCTCGGACCCCCCAGCGAAGGCGGACGAAGGCTGGAGCGGTCCCTCGGACCCTCCAGCGAAGACAGACGAAGGCTGGAGCGGTCCCTCGGACCCTCCAGCGAAGGCGGACGAAGGCTGGAGCGGTCCCTCGGACCCTCCAGCGAAGACAGACGGAGGCTGGAGCGGTCCTCGGACCCTCCAGCGAAGACAGACGGACGGCTGAAGCGGTCCTCGGACCCTCCAGCGAAGACAGACGAAGGCTCGAGCGGTCCCTCGGACCCCCCAGCGAAGGCAGACGAAGGCTGGAGCGGTCCCTCGGACCCTCCAGCGACGGCAGACGAAGGCTGGAGCGGGCCCTCGGACCCTCCAGCGAAGGCGGACGAAGGCTGGAGCGGTCCCTCGGACCCTCCAGCGGATCCCGGACGAGCCCCCATATGTTACACCCCGGCCTAGGCAACCGGAGTGCAACACGAAAAAAAGTAAAAATAAAGAAAAAAAAAACACACACACAAAAAACCCCACTAAAGCTCACCACCAACCTCCAGCGGAGACGGACGGCGGAAGCGAAGGCAGACGAAGCTGATGAAGGCTGGAGCGGCCCCACCGACCCTCCAGCAGACGACGAAGGCTGGAGCGGTCCCACAGACCCTCCAGCGAAGGCGGATGAAGGATGGAGCGGTCCCTCGGACCCTCCAGCAGACGACAAAGGCTAGGGCGGTCCCCGGACCCCCCAGCGAAGGCAATCCCGGACGAGCCCCCATATGTTACACCCCGGCCTAGGCAACCGGGGTGCAACGTAGAAAAACAAAGATAAGGGGTCAGTGGGACCGCTCCAGCCTTCATCGGCTTCATCTGTCTGGATCAAACTTTTCACTTGGTGTTAAATGTTTGATTTTTGGGTGGGGGGAAATGTTACGTTTCGGTGTGTCAGTGTTTTGTTTTTGCGTGACTGTTATGTATTTCCTGCTTTACTTTGAAAGTCTGTGTTATCTTAGTGTGTTCAGATACGTTTTCCCTGTCTCGTCAGTTCTAATTTGCCCCAGCTGTGTTTCCCTCCTGTGGTCCATTTTCTGATTGCTCCCTCTATGTATTTAAACCCTGTGTTTCAGTGTGTCATGGTCGCGATCTCCCCCGTGTTGTAAATAGTTTGGTGTTTTGTTGTGAATAAATAGTCTGTTGTAAATAGCTGTAAATGGGTTTTGTCAATACTTTCGTTTTGAGACACTTTCGTTTTGGGATTTTGGTGGAGAGCCTTCGTGGTTTTATTTTCCTTATCTTTGTTTTTCTACGTTGCACCCCGGTTGCCTAGGCCGGGGTGTAACATATGGGGGCTCGTCCAATCGCTGGGGGGTCCGAGGACCACTTCAGCCGTCCGCCGTCGCTGGAGGGTCCGAGGGAGGGACCGCTTCAGCCGTCTGTCTTCGCTGGAGGGTCCGGGATCGCTGGAGGGTCCGAAGGGGGGACAGCTTCGGCCTTCTGTCTTCGCTGGAGGATCCGAGGGACCGCTCCAGCCTTCTGCAGCTGGTGGGCTGCGTGTCCGTGTGTGCAGCTGGTGGGCTGCGTGTCCGTGTGTGCAGCTGGTGGGCTGCGTGTCCGTCTGTGCAGCTGGTGGGCTGCTCATCCGCCTTCGCTGGAGGGTCCGAGGGACCGCTCCAGCCTTCATCCGCCTTCGCTGGAGGGTCCGAGGGACCGCTCCAGCCTTCGTCGTCTGCTGGAGGGTCAGTGGGACCGCTCCAGCCTCCATCAGCTTCGTCTGCCTTCATCCGCCTTCGCTGGGGGAGGGTCCGTGGGACCGCCCCAGCCTTTGTCGTCGCTGGAGGGTCCGAGGGACCGCTCCAGCCTTCATCCGCCTTCGCTGGAGGGTCCGAGGGACCGCTCCAGCCTTCGTCGTCTGCTGGAGGGTCAGTGGGACCGCTCCAGCCTCCATCAGCTTCGTCTGCCTTCGTCTTCAGCCTTCGTTTGTCTGAATCAAACTTTTCACTTGGGGTTACATGTTTGATTTTTGGGTAGGGGGAAATGTTACGTTTCGGTGTGTCAGTGTTTTGTTTTTGCGTGACTGTTATGTATTTCCTGCTTTACTTTGAAAGTCTGTGTTATCTTAGTGTGTTCAGATACGTTTTCCCTGTCTCGTCAGTTCTAATTTGCCCCAGCTGTGTTTCCCTCCTGTGGTCCATTTCCTGATTGCTCCCTCTATGTATTTAAACCCTGTGTTTCAGTGTGTCATGGTCGCGATCTCCCCCGTGTTGTAAATAGTTTGGTGTTTTGTTGTGAATAAATAGTCTGTTGTAAATAGCTGTAAATGGGTTTTGTCAATACTTTTGTTTTGAGACACTTTCGTTTTGGGATTTTGGTGGAGAGCCTTCGTGGTTTTATTTTCCTTATCTTTGTTTTTCTACGTTGCACCCCGGTTGCCTAGGCCGGGGTGTAACAATATATATATATATATATATATCTATATATATATCTATATATATATATCTATATATATATATATATATATATATATATATATATATATATATATATATATATCACTTTTTAATATTTTTTTTTTTTTACATATTTTTTTTAGGTGTCAGAGTTATGCAGACATTTCAAGTTATACATTTTGTCATTATTACACTGAATAAAAATATAAACGCAACACTTTTGCTTTTGCTCCCATTTTTCATGAGCTGAACTCAAACATCTGAAAATTGTTCTACATACACAAAAGACCCATGACTCTCAAATATTGTTCTCAAATCTTTCTAAATCTGTGTTAGTGAGCACTTTTTCTTTACCCACCTCACAGGTGTGGCATATCAAGGGGCTGATTAGACAGCATCAATAATGTACAGGTGTGCCTTAGACTGCCCAAAATAAAAGACCACCCTGAAACGTGCAGAGTTTTGCTTTATGGGGGGTTGGAGGGGCAGAAAACCAGTCAGTATCTTCAACACCATTCTTCCCTCGGTTCTAAAGGACAAGCTGGTGAACTCTGGAGTGGACCATCACCTCACTACCTGGATTTTGGACTACCTCACCGATCGACCACAGTATGTGAGGACTCAGGGCTGTGTGTCGGACAGGGTCATCTGCAGTACGGGGGCCCCACAGGGAACGGTTCTGGCTCCGTTCCTCTTCACCATCTACACTGCAGACTTCTCCCACAATTCCACCCAGTGCTTCCTGCAGAAGTTCTCTGATGACTCTGCAATAGTCGGCCTCATCACTGATGGGGACGACAAGGAGTACAGAGGTCTGACCCAAGACTTTGTGGACTGGTGCCAGCTGAACTACCTCCAGATCAACGCCAGTAAAACCAAGGAACTGGTGGTAGACTTCCGCAGGCACAAGCATTCTCCACTGCAACCACTGAACATCC